AATCACTGCTATCTGTTGGCTCACTGGAATCTTTTTCTGCCGGAAAATTTTCTCCAGCTGCTCTGTAAATGCACGCCACAACTTTCAGGACAGTTGAGCTTGTGGTTCTTGGCATTTCAGAACTGTGGACTGAATTGAATATGCAAATTTCCCGTTCTGTGAAATCTGCTGCAGCAAGAAGCCAGTGTGAACCAGGACCTCGCACATCAGTATTAAAGGGCATCAGGACTGTATCAAAATTCAAAGCTCTCTGAGCTGCACAAAACTGTAAAACTGGGCCAAAGTTTGAAAGTGCAGCCATCTGATAAATAAGCGTGGGCATGCACAGAACAGAGTCCAACACCTTAGCTTGACCTATGTAGCCTGTGATGGGCCACTCAATAGTTTCCCCATTGAGGCAGGTAAAACTGTAGAATTTTATTAATTGAAAAAAATGTTCAGTGACTTTGCTGCTTTATTGTATACAGTTATACTGTATGTAAGTTAGGTTTTGTGAAGGGTTTTTACTTGTATATGTAGTATTGTAATCAGTTGATAAGTAAAAAAAAAATAGCAAAATTATCTATTTGCATTGCATATTACATAGGCTATGATGGTGATCAGCTAATATATTCCACAAAGCATGATTTCTTCAATAGCCTGACAAGCCAAATGTATTGGACAGTTTTCACGTTTATCTGAAGTTACCCAGCTAACTGGGAAATTCTGCTTTGTGGAATACCCCACTCAACGGTATAATGGTTAGGAAACATCTATTGCGTTATTCATTCTTGAAACAAATACATTTAAATCAGGATTGAAATACTACTGAAGTAATATCATTGCATGATTATAATTTATTTAGTTTTTACATATGCAACAATTTTATTTTATTGAAAACATGGATTTAAAAGGGCACATCCTGAATAAAAACATTTTGTGTCTCAGTCATGTTTCTAACAGCCTAAAGATCTTGGTTGCAGGACTCCTGCTTCATAACTTAAACTAACGTACTTATTTCTCGTAAGTTTCCATACTGATGACATGAATGCGCTCCATCTTCGTTTGATTCTTTTTTGCGAGAGCCTGGAGAGTGAAAGTGAAAGTGAAAGGAAAGGACCTGCATTACCATACTGCCCCTAACATAATACGATCCTCCACCCCACACACATACTCAAACACTTTTTTGGCAATTATTTTCTTTGTTTCCAGAGTACTCAACTGATTTCAATTTTCGTATTCTGTGACTAGTTGGTTTAAATATAACCTTGGTCTGGATTTGTACTTTCAGGACCTGAATGTTCCACCTCTGCTGTCAGCAACGAACCCTAAAAGACCTGTTCACTGCCAGGGCAAAGAGGAGAGCTTGAGAATTACTGCCGTCACAGAGAAGGTACAAGTGCATCATGACCTGGACCTCATGCCATTTCCACAGCTTCTTTCATGCAACCATCCAGCTCCTAAATAATCTCACCTAATACCTCAGGAATCCCATCACCCAGGTGAAACCCAGTCACTAAGGGTCTATTCCCCTCTTCCATTGTCTGACATTTTACATCGATGGTCTACTTGCTCTATTGGTTTAATTTTCACTACAACAATGAACAACTGCTGGTTATTTTTCTTTGCATTTTATTCTGCATTGGCGGAACTTGCATATTGACCCCCGCATGCAGGTTTCCATTTCACTTTCAGTCATTTTTGCACATGGTAGTCCATCCATCCATCCATCTTCCATCACGTACCCTGGTCCTGGTTGTGAGGGCAACAGTGTAAGCAGGGATGCCCAGACTTCCCTCCCTCCAGCCACCTCCTCCGGAGGGATACATTGTATCATTTTATTTATAATTTTTATTTATTGTTATTTATTGATACTTCTAGAACTGTGTGTTCTGTAAATTTGTCCCCTGTTAATTTGTAATTTCTGTTGTATGCCTGGTTTACACATATATATTCTGTGAAGCATTTCTCCATATATGTTGTAATTTTGTCCTGTCCTGGACCATAAACAATTCTGGTATGTTAGTATATACTGGCAATAAAGTGTCTGAATTCTGAGTATTGGATCATATCAGATCGACACGAAAATCAGTGGTATCGCCATCCCTACCACCAATTCTCTCTCTCTACTTTCACGCTCCTCTCACACTCCTCCCACACACACACTGGAAGGGATGGGAGTCCCCCCACCTTTCTGCCCCCCCCAGCATGCATTCCCCCACCCTGCCAACAAAGTGCAGTCAAACAACTCAAA